TGAACTGTGCTGTGTGCTGATGGAGGAGAATGGATTGGATGTTCCAAGAGATCCATTTGCTGCAGCTGATCTCTACATCTTGTTAAAAGAAGAAATACTGCAAAACATCTGACAAAAATAAAGACCAGTAACAATAAATAAATCTCAGAAGGCCTAAAAAGTGGCAATGTGTAACCTGTTTTGGAAGCATATTTAAAGTTTTTGTCTTTCACACATCTCTGACATGCCCCAAATTAGGGAAAATCGCTGTTCGGCCGGATGTTTTTCATTTAGCCTGGATTCAAATGATTGAACTTCTAAAAACAACCTGAGACCACTGTATATGCATACTGTAGTTTTTGAATGCAATGTGACCTACAACTTCAAATGATTTTATATTATATACACACACACACACACGTATTTAGTAAATGAAGACAAATAGTATTGTCATCAAAAAGTCAAGCTTTTATTGGAACTGCAACACAAAGTTTTTCGTAGTTCAATAAAATTATTTTGAAACAGTTTCAGTCTAATGTTTCCTGTAATGTTTCCTCTGAAGCTCGATGAATTTGCCGGAATGCTGCCAGTTCTGTCATTTTGCATTAACACTGATATCTCCACTTCCACTTTTGCCCCTAAACTCGACGTATTGCATGTGACCTGAGGTCTGCAGCCAGTCTCACTCTAACGTCAGGATTCTGACTTTTTTCTCGGAATTCTGACTTCTTCTAAAAAAAGAGTTCTGACATTTTTCTCAGAGTTCTTACTCTTACTCAGAATTCTCTGAAGTTTATTTCCCGTGGCACTAATCCTCTTCTGTAGTTTCCTCAGGCTAAAACGCCGCTGCCTTGTAAAGGTGAAATGATGTGCCATTTTGATATTAAATGTTACTCATAAAACACAGCTCTGAATAATCAAGAGAGTTAGGACAACCTTTATGCGCTGGCACAAAGTCTGTTTTTTCTGCCGTCAAAATAACAAAATGGATTTGGACACGCCCATACATGATGGTTGTGCCTTGTGCTTTGCGTTAGATCAAAATAGAACCCCAAGTGTTTCATTCAGATCCATTGCCACAGGTATAAAATCAAACACCTATGCATGCAGTGAGATTTACAAACATTTGCGAAAGAATGGGTCATTCTGAAGAACTCAATAAATTCACTGTAATTTATTAAATATATTTAAAATCATTTTGAAAGCCTGGTTAACTGTTTTGCAAGAGGTGGCTAACATGAATTCAAGTGTGGTACTGTTATAGGATTACACTTTAGCAATAAGCAAGCTAAATTCGTAAATTAAATTAATAAGTAAGTGAAATTCCTTCCCTGCTAGATATTCCACAGTCAACTGTAAGTGGTATTACTGCAAAGTAGAAGCGTTTAGAAACAACAGAATCTCAGCCATGAAGTGGAAGGCCACGTAAAGTAACAGAGCAGGGTCACCAAGTGTGGAGACGCACAGTGCGTTAAAGTCGCCAACGCTCTTTGATAACTGAACTTCCTGGCATTAACCTCAGCACAAAAACTGTGCATTGGGAGCTTCATGGAATGGGCTTCCATGACCAAAAAACTGCATGCAAGCCTCACATCACCAAGCACCAAGCTCCAGTGGATGGAGTGGTGTAAAGCATGCCCTGATCTCAACCCCACCAAACACCTTTGGGATGAACTAGAATGAAGTTTGGGACCCAGGTCTTCACATCCAACATCAGTGCCTGACCTCACAAATGCTCTTCTGGATGAATGAGCAACAATTCCCACAGACACACTCCAAAATCTTGTGGAAAACCTTCCCAGAAGAGTGGCAGATGTTAGCAGCTGCGAAAGGGGGACCAACTCCATATGGGTGGGATGTCATAAATGTTTCTGTTGGTGTAATGGCCAGATGTCCCAATACTTTTGTCCATACAGTGCAGGGGTCGGCAACCCATTTTATCCTAAATGTCTGACCCAAGATTTGGGTAGAGAAGAGGGTTTGATGTACAATTTTTGAATGTGATATGGGTATATATGCATTTAACACAACGCTCTTTATAGTAATTCTTAATTTAAAGGTATACACTTATATGTAATGTGCATGTGATGTACTATAATTGGTGCTGTGCTCCAAGTTTGCATATTTTTCTTTGTCTGTTTTGTGATGTATACTTCCAAATTTATCATTTTGCTGTTCTCTGTTAAGAAGAGCCTCTTTAAGCACTGGAGAAAAGGATTAATTCAGTGGTGACACTATTGAAGTGACTGGCTTCGCATGTTTTGACACATGTGAACAAGGCTTTGATTGTTTTAGTGGCTTTTGCATATGTAAGTTAGTGTTATGAAGCATCCTGAATGCTGGTACGTGTCCAGAGCAGAGGGACAGGCTCGTTCAGCTGGGGGAGCTCACTCTGGAATCCAAAGCCTGGGAGGTGGAGCACTAGGGATGTGCTTTGCTCACCCTAGAGGGAAGGATGAGAGCCTTCAACAGTGGGCAAGGATCCTTTACCCCAATCTCCGTCACAGGAGGCAGAGAACAAAGAAGCGGCCTGACCCCGAGTCCAATACCACCCCAGCTCTTGAGCCAGAAAACTCCACCCCGTTCATTCGTCCAGCTCCACCAACTCTCCTACTAGTGCCTCACCACTAGCCTTTGCGGGCTCTGCGTCCTACCCCTGTGCAGTCTGTGTCACACCCATTGAGCCAGTCTTGGTCTCATCTATGTCTCCCAGGTCTGTCTGCTTCGCTGCAGCTACTTGGGCCCCTAGCTCAGGGAAGGCTGCCTTCACGTCCAGGTGAGATCTCTGTCGCTTCACTAGCGCCCAGCTCCACAAAGGCCACTGCCACACCCGGCCCTCAGAGGGCCACATCGCCCTCGCTCCCGATCCAGAGAGGGTCCTGGGTCTGCTTCGTTCACCACCTGGTTCCCCAGCTGTGCTCCGTCCACCTCCAAGTGTCTCAGCTCAGACCCACTTGCCGCCTGGTGTCCCGGTTCCGTCCTTCCCGTCTCCTGGCCTCCTGGATTCACCTCGCTCATCCAGCTTGTTTCTTTTACTCAATATTTAAATCTAAAAGGTTAAATCTAAACACCATGAACAGTAATTCACAACAATCTCAAACTGATGCTAGTTCGTTCAAAAACCTGTGAGCGAGCCTCATGGGGCCAACAGTAAGCTTTTTTTTTTAATTAAAACGTTAATTTCAGCTTTTTTTTTCTTGAAACGTCGTTTCATTTCTAAAGTTAATTTTCACTTTACTGTCACTCACACAACATGCCACACACACATGTAGGATCTCAGGGTGGGAATGTGCCGCGCACGCTGTGGTGAGGGGGCCATCCACATGGCCTTACTCGCTGTGCTGCGCAGCCCTCTGCCTCCCCTTGTTTTAATTGCACTTTAGTCATCACATATCAGTATACACACAGGGCCTTGGGGGGTGGGGGCACTACTCAGAGGTTGGTGGGTGGGGCCGCTGAGGTGGCCTCACTCACCTCTTCACTGCTGCCCGCCCCTCAATTTTACTCACACCATATACATTGAGGGTCTTGGCGGGGGGGGGGGGGGTGATGGGGAGGAGAGCTGTTCGCAAGCAGCGCTCCTCCGCGCTTCCCCCGTCAATTTTAAATCCATCTTAAGTTTCTCAACAGTCATACTCATTCCTTACACCACATACACTCACATGCACCAACACACATGCATCCAACACTCCACCTCTCACACAGGTGCGTGGGGGAGGAGAGTGGGCGGGTCTTCCTACACCCCTGCTCCCTGCCCGCGATGGTGGGGGGGCACTCAGGTAGTCATCCGGCTGGCGGTGCCCTGCGGTTGCGGCTGGTGCTGGGAGGTGGCGTCCGTTCCCCCGCATGGCGGAGGGTGGTCCGGAGTGGATGGGCTTATGTCTTTTTGTCTCTGTGTATGTGTCTGTGTTTGTTGTGTGAGTGGGTGTATGGGAGCGGCCGTCACCCTCGCGGGGTCGGCAGCCTGTTGCCTCTGGTTCTCTGGGGCTCGTGCCCTTTTGGCTGCGGGGGCTGCGCCCGGGACCTCCTCCTCCTCCTGCTGGGGTGGGGACACGGCTGTCATGGGAACGTGGGGCCTTGGCTCTTCCATGCTCTTGGGGGGCTGCGGACGCCTTGGGTCTCCTGGGCCTGTCTCCGCCGGCCTCTGGCTCTTGTGTGGTGGGGTTGCCCTCACTATGAAGTACATTCCATGGAGAAATTCACATGCACCCAACACACGCACACGTGTTCACACACCTCCCCCACACAGATGAACACACATGCAAATACACCTCCACGCTCCCTCCTAAGCACACGCTACAATTCTGTATGTCTGTATATCTGTTTTATTTTCTTTATTTCTGGTTGTGTCTTTGTATTTATCCATTTTTGGTTGTATTTCAAATGCTGTTTTTTTCTTCTTTTCTTTCCTTCTTGTTAATCTCTCTCCCTACCCCTTTTCTCCACTCATTTTCCTCCTAATCTATCACTCCCTTCCGGGTAGCTCGGCAACTGCTATATTTTACATGTGTTAAAAATAAAATACAATAAATAAACAAATAAAAAGAAATCGACCAATATGAAGGGCCTATACAGAGTTTATAGAGCCCCTCACGGTAAAGCAAATATGTCTGGCACAGCAGTGCATTCAGACCATTATTCTGCTTGCTAAAGCTGCCGGACAGGATGTCACCCCCGGCTCGTCCGATCCTCGTGTGTGCCACGCCCCCTCATTACCTACGTGTGCTACCCCGATTGTGATCACCTGTTGCCTGTTATTTTCTGCGTATCCTGTGTATTTAGTCTGTGTCTGAGTTAGTGTTCCCCAGATCCGTCATTAATGTTTGTTGCCGTCTGCTGTCTGCCCTGAATAAACCCCGTTTTAGAGTATTCCCGGCTCTCTCTCCTCTGATTCCCCGCTCGCCTCGCATGTGATCACAACACAGGACACCAAAAAAAAAAAAAAAAAAAAAAAAAAAAGCTATTTTTTTCCTTCCCATGGGTGGCCCTGTTACGGGAAATTCAGTTCCTGAACAGCCAGCTCACGTTTTGCAATATTGAAAGTAAGGAGAAAGTTCTGTTACAGGCTGGAACTGTCCTGTGGGTTTTAAGTAAGTATTTTTATTTGTTGTTATTACTGGTAAAAAAATGTATCTTATTCTCTGGCTACTGGTGGATATAAGAGCTGCTGGATTTAAAGTATTTTTATTTGTATACATCTCAAATGGCTGGCAATAGAGTTTTTCTCGATTGCTCTTGAGCATCTCACAAATTATAATTAACATTTGCAAAACAGCAAGTGCAATCCACACACCATAATGTCACTTCTGCACAGCAGAACATCATTTCTCACTGCTTCACACAAATTTCCAGATGTTTTAGTACATACACTATGTTCTTTTTTACATATCATACATCATTACATGTCATACATGTCAATGGTTGGGCGGTGCAGTGGTTGGCACTGCTGCCTTACAGCAAAAAGGTCCTGAGTTTGATCCTGGGTCCGCTCTCCCAGTGCTCACTGTGGGGTTTCCTCCCACAGTGGTGTGTTGGTGACTATCTGCTCCGGGTCCCTTGCGACCCCAGTGGAGACTGAGTGGTCAGGATGGATGCCAATGATTTTTGTAAAATTGGCACAATTTTCAGTTGCTTTAGTTCTGTTGGTCATAATACATTATGTAGTTTCCCATTGTAATAATTTTACACCCAAATCTATATATGTATGTGTTCATCATGTTAGCCACCTCATGCAAAACAGTTAACCAAGCTTTCAAAATGATTTTAAATATATTCCATAAATTACAGTGATACGGCATTGCTGTGTTTTTGGTTCTCATGGTACATGATTTCGTTGTCGTTCTTTTTTTTGCCATTTTACAGTTTTTTGTGTTATATGGTGCTGTGTAATTTTTTTGTTCACTGTTGTACTGTGTCTTGAGATCTGAAGTAGTTACATGTGCATGCAAGCGCTTTTTCTTGCCAGTGAACTTTACATACTGTAACACAGAGCCTTCCAATGTTGAAAAGTGTGTCTTTGGCATGAATAAGTATCAGTTTGCTAAAGAAAAATGATCAGTCAGTGACAATGAGAAACTGGGAAGTGACAGTCATTCAGAATTGTGGCACTCAGGAGCATAATTACACTGACATAATGACAATATATCTAAGCATTTTCACTCATGGTTAAAACGATGCTGATTGAAGTTTTAATTTTGGTGGCACTGACTAATTCATTGGTGGAATTATTTAACACGTGTTAATTATTTTGGGTAAGTTATATGCTTTAACAGCTAACCTATAGTGTTGTGCCACATGCATGAACTGTTTTGAGAAATGCTCTTATAGTCTTGAAAATGATAAGTACACAGGAAATGTGTGAGGGTTTTCACACGGGAAAGGAGGACACTTGCGTGGTTTCGGGTGAAGTGGTCTGGTTTTATTTTGGGGGAGTCCAAACTTGAGGCTGAGATGGCAAAAATTGGGTCCGAAACATAAGGCAAGTTGAGGGGAAGGAGATGGTCAGTCGATGTGCGTCGTTCAGCAGAGGGGCAAGAGAGAGACGGTGATCGGTAGGCAGGCGGAGGCTGGGTGATCATCAGGACAGAGGGCAGGACGGGTCTCGTGGTCTGTAGACAGGCTTGGGTCAGAAGACGAGTAGGCAAACAGGCACACAGAGAAACAGAGGCGCTCAAACTCAGGAAAACCTGGAAGATCTCACATCACATATCAGCCCATCTTGTCAGACTGATTGAAATATCTTAGAAAAATGTAACGTATAAGTTAATTATTCAGTCAACCAGTAATGTGAATGAATTGACTGTGAATAATACTTCGTTTGACTTGTAGTAAATTTGCAGTCAGAGTAATCTCGCCAATGAGCAAGCTTACTCGGTCAGATCGCATCAGTTGTCATTTGCTGGACATGTCTGAATGTTACTATATAAAAGTTACACAAAGTTTCAAGAATGTTAATATCTGCATATGCATTTTTTATGTCTTATGTGTGGTTTTGAAATGGTGGATACCCATAAATTTGGTTTGCACATCACTCCTGGCAACAGGGCTGCGTATTTCACTGCAGCAGAACGGAGAATTATTATGGTAAAATATGAAGAATTCATATTTTAAATTTGGTCTTGAAAAGGGCAATTCTCTTTCCATTTGCATTTCCATTTTTCAGGTGCTTTTCCTTATACTGTTAGCGATTCAGGCACCCTCAAGGCAATTCAGAAACAGTGATTTTTTTGCTCTCTTCACCATCAATAGAAATACTAAAAAAATTGTTTTGTTTGGTGTATATAAGCAAAAATTAACTACTGGGAATTCTACATAGCATCTCTATTTTTAACCAGGCCATTCTTAATTGGAGATTAATCTGGGCTGAAACTATTAGTTATAAGAGAAGGTACAAGCAAAATACAGTAAGACCTTGGACATTCACGCAGTTACATTCCAGAACCCGTTGCGAATGAGGAGGATTCGTGGATTTTTGGTAGTGTCACTAAAAATGGTAATACAGTATGTGCTTATTTCTATAGTTTAAACCAGGGGGGCCCAGTCCCGCTCCTGGAGAGCTTAGGTACAGCCCTAATTTGCTCGAGGACTTACTGTACACACTTTGCTAATAATTCTGTGCACAGTGTAAGTCTCGTAGGTTGATGAAGACAGAACTGCCTCTGAAAGGTACCATTACACATTATGGACACTGTCATTAGGACCTTGCCTATGAGGTCACACTGGGTAATGCTTGTTCATTTGCCAGCAGGGACGATGGCCGCGATGAAAGGACGCCTGCGTGCCCTGAGGGTGATGGTCCTTGTCTCACTTCTGAGTCAAACAGCACAATTTGGTAAGATGCCCAGATTTTTATCAAAGAGACTGGACACTTAAATTTTTCACATGTTATATTTGAGCTGTTTGTATCCAACAGACAGGCCCTATCATGAAAAAAACAGAATTCTGAACCTAATATTTTGCGTAAAATTAAAATGCATGTGATTGTAAAATTGTTCAAAATAGAAATTATTTGTTCTATTTCCTTAGGATTCAATGAGATAAAATGGGATGAGTTGACACCTGATGTGGCTTTGCTGCACGGACTGATGGGACTACCTGACCGAGTTGTACATCAAGCTCCTGCACATCTGAAATCCAGCAGAATGAAAAGAGATGAACCGACCACATCCACGGCATTCTTCAAGGACCTATGGAAATGTCAAAATGTTACTGAATGTGTCATTCAAAACGAGCAGGTACTAAAAGCACAGCACCTTTATTAGCATTATATTCATTACACAAATACCCTGAGCACAGCTATTTATCTTTCCAATAGAGAAAAATAGCTAGGGAGCAAGTCAATTAAATGTATTTTTATATAGCGCCTTTCACAACCCAAGTCATTCCAAGGCACTTTACATGGGTGTGTTGTGATACATATAGATAAACTAATAGAAAAACAGGGAAAAGGGAAGAAAAAGAAACGAAAGAAAGAGCCAGATGACAATGGAGGAGAGGAACCAAAACCCCAATGCAGGGAGAAAAAAAACCTCTGGGGGTCCAAAGTTAACTGGACCCCCCGGACATGATAACATTATGGAAAAAGATAGAATGGATTTTAGCGCTTTATATTAAAGTCTGGAATGTGCACTTCAATTGTGTATCAATTGTTTGATTTAAAATTTTAAACTAAGGAGCAGAGGGGAAAATCAATTTAAAATGTGTCTTTGTCCCAAACCTTATGGAGGGCACTGTGCATTAGACAAGCAAACCAGAAACGTTGTTGGAATAAAAGTCAACATACCCGACTCTATTTTCACTCAGCTTTAGAATGTATGAAAACTGATAACTCCTGTAAATATCATCTTGTTTTTATGTACTAGAACTTCAGAAGATTTATGGAAGAAATCGAGAGGAGCAAGATTGAAGATAAACTCCTTTTGGCATCAGAGCTGTCTTACACTTACGGAAATAAGCTGATACTCATCATGGACCAGGAGACGGACACTCTTCAGAGGGCACAGCAGGAGTACAGTGAAGATCCTCATTATTCCATCAAGGTTGATAAAGCATGTATAGAAAATGACTCCTGTATCCCAACTGCTGTCAGTACCACTATTGTTAAGATATTTGGCAGGACCTCAGACAGTGGAGACACCCTTTCTGGTTATTCTGGCTCAGCTCTTGCAACTCAGATGTTGAGGTCGGAGCTGATATCTGCACCTGTATTCTCCATTGATGGTAACACCAGTGCTGAGTTTCAGTACAACTTCATGAGGATTTTTAAGCCACATGGTATTACTCCTGTCCTGGAGGTAGCAACCCAAAATGATCATATTTACCAAGTTATGGATCAGAGCAGCAAAACTACTAGGTACCAAGTCCCAAAGAGACCTGTAGATCACACCACTCAGTACGACTGGCAGAACATCTTGATCCTGGAAGATGACCCCACAGTTCGAAAGATGGCCATCTATCTGTATGAAAAACACCCAACTGTGTCTTCTGTCTACAAGCTGGAGAATCAGAAACCCAAACTGATCAAAGGAGACGCTGTAACATTGTCTCAGGACAGCAGACTGGTGGTTGTGGGCCATGGAAAAAGAGATGGTACAGAAATGAAGGTGGGGGGATACAGGGCCAAGGAGGTGGCTGAGATCATCTCACACATGAACAGAGATGGAGACCACATCAAAACCATTAGTATGGTGGCCTGTGAGTTAGGGTCAGATAAGGTTTTCATTAGCACCTTGCTGAAGGAGCTCCATGCCAGGTCCATCAAAACTAAATTTCATCTGCGGAGATCTCTGTTGCAGGTTGGTCCCTCCGGGAAGAAGATAACAGTGGAAATGACCCCTGATGGAATGGTAGGGAGACAGAAAGATGACAACATGAAAGTAGTGGCTTGGCTTGACAAAAATGAAGAAGCAATTATAGAAGTTCAATCTAGTGAAAGAGGTGAGCCAATTTTTCCAGAGGAACATAACTTTTTAATTCTTGGTGATGAAGAACTTTGGCCAGAAAATCCGAGAAATTTTGTTGCTAAAACTGACCAAAAACCTCACACCCGTGACCTTGAGGCTTTGACTTGGGGTTTTTTCCATAAAAGAAACAATGAAGACTTAGGAAATTTATTGAAACGTCCACCCAGTCATTCAGCAGAGAACAAATACGTAATAAATGGCTATAAGGTGGAACGGGACGGTATTGAGTACATACGTCAGCAGGAGGGTTGGATAGATTCATTGGACGAAATCAAGACAGTTCTTGAGAACTGTTATGAAATAAAGACTGGTGAGGACATCTTGAATATTATTACTCACTTTGCAACTTTGGATGTAAAAACTGGACACTCATATCTGATCCTGAATGATTGGATTTATCAAATAACACATGAAAATCTTTATATTTTTCCTGTTGGGAAAAGACTTAATAACAATGAGGTGGGGAATGATGAAAAAATTAAGAACATACAAGACTGCATTTCCAGCCAATTTGGCAATGAAAAATATCCTGACATAACAGGTAAAATTAACAAATTTCCCAATGGCAGAGTAGCGTATGCAGAATACGCCACACAGACGCTTCAAGGTACCTACATTACAGGATCAGAAACTCAGAATACTATTGAGATGAATGCATGGTTTACTACATACTTCATGGCATCTGTTATATCTGAATCGACTAGAAATTTCCGTACATTTCCTGCCATTCTGATGGCTCTGGACATGAGCCGCAACCTTGACAATAATATCAGAGAAAAAGGAATCAAATCCCTGTTTGAAGGGCATCCAATGACAAGAGCAAGGACTTGGACTTCACCAGATAAAAGAGGGTTCTTTGGATCAAGCACGGCCAAAAGAGGGAGAAAAACAGCTCTAACAAGAGTGATAGAAGCTGAAGAAACTATTTGTACGTCATGGTATAGAAACCAAGAAGATGCCAATAATGAAATGTTAGAGAGTTTGTTTCAGCTTGTATCTCTAAATGACAATGAACAAAGAGAGTCGGTTGTACAAAATTTTAATGATGATTATAAAACATTCAAACATGAAGTTGACCAAAATTCACCAAATGTTTTAGGAGGATCACTTGATGGACGTGTAACATCCCAAGATACACAGTTAGCTTCTGCAGTAGAACATTCCCTTAAACAGTCCTCATATTACTCCCGGTCATCTAATGTACTCAGTGACCAGATTGAGAGTCAGCTGGACAGAGATTTTGGTGAAACACTGGGTGAACTTAAAGTGAAACCAGACAGTGTTAGAGTAGAGGATGGAGAATTTCACTGTCAGCTACAATCTGAGAAATTACCTGAAACATTAAGCTGGAAGGTGGCATTGCCTGAAGAGGCCCAGCATCACATGGAGACACTTCAGAAAAACATGAGAGATGTTGCTGAAATTAACAGTCCTGATCCAACCAAAATCCACAGGAGTCCTGAGCACTTGGAGCTTATGGGGAAAACAGTGGGAGCCGTAGGACTGATGCTGGGAATGCAGGGTGCTGTTCATGCCTTTGAAAGTGGAGACATAGAACATGGAGTCATGGGAACCTTACAGACAGCCCATGGAGTCACAGCAATGACTTTGGCTGCGGTAGCAAAGTCCTCTGTAACTTCAGAAACGAAAGTTATGAAAGCTATGAACATTTTTATGAAGAGTCCAGCTGGAAGAACTACTCTTAATATTGTTATGCCAATTGCTGGAATTGGATTTGGCATTTACAATGTTGAAGAAGACTTTCGGAGAAAGGACACTCTGGGATATATAGATGGAGGCTTAGATTTAGCACTTGTAGCTCTGGATATTGTTGAAATCGCCCAACCAGAACTGGCACCAATTATAGCTCCACTAACCTTAGCAATAAACGTAATACGAATGGGAATTGATGACATTTATATGAGTGTCCAGAATGAATTAGCAAATCTACCACAGAACGCTGGAACGCTGGCCAAAATTGAAGCTTTTTTCAAAGGACTTGACAAAGGAATTTATCATCTTTCTCTTGATGTGCGAAGCTTTTTCTACACAATCCCTTACCGTGAGATTGAGGAAGGACGTAGGCTTGTTGACCAAATTTCAGACTACCAAAAATATTATAGTTTTCATGAGGTACAGGCTGGAAGAAAGGCTATTGATTTTTCATCAGGTGCCAGTTCTTGGAATGGTGGGAAAATCACATTCTGTCTTGCTGAGGAAGGATCTTCTGAATTCTGTATGGCAAACTTTGTATCCTCAGATGAAAGTCTTGGAAAAAAATGTTGGGAGATTGAGACATATGGAACAAAAGATATAGTCCTCGGCACTGGAGAATCACATGAATTAACCCTATGATGCATGAGTGGTATGACCCTACACTTTTCCATAAGTGGGTCATGCTTGACCCACTTATAAAAATCAATTTGTTTTATGCCATTTTTGTCATTTTGGTTATGAATAATGAATTGTAACATAGTCTGTATTATATTTTGGACCANTTGTTTGATGAATCTGTATGTATGTGGTCTTCAAGTATGTTATTTTTAAAATGTATTCATTCCTATTTTATTATGTTGATTTAAGATTAGATGTAATTATCAGCTAAAACACAGATCTTATCAAAAGCCGTAGCCTATATTAAAATGCACCCTCTTGGGGGGGGGGGGGGGGGGGGGGGGGGGGGGGGGGCTGGGGGAGCAGTCACAATGACGTGTGACTGCACATTCATGTGGGGGAGGGGGGGTGGTGGTGAAAAGAGATATGTTTGCAGGGGTTAGAGTGAGGTTGTTTTCCTAAACTAAGAACACTGAACCAACGGTCAAGCATGGTGGTGGTAGTATCATGCTGTTTTGCTGACAGTACTGTACATCAGTACATTGCGCAAAGGGAATGAAATAATGAAGCAGCATTAGATAGATAGACTGGGATTTTTTTGTCATAGTAGCAGACACAAAAAGAGGAACATAAAAGAAACAGAATAATAAGTATTTACTGTAACCCTCTGGATCAAGTCTGAGGCCTATCACCCACTTTCAAAGTCGTCTGACATGCCTTGACATTTTACAGTTTTTCTGAATTGCTAAAACACATTTCCTAAAATCTCCTCTCTTTTTCTCAAACCACTAAGCACAAACCCTAAACTCACAATACCTTACACTCATCTTGCAAAATCAAACAATCTTCTGAAAACTATTATCTTTGCTCAAAAGCAAACACTGCTTTCAGATGACGCGTCTGAAATCCAGCAGAATGAAAAGAGATGAACTGACCACATCCACAGCATTCTTCAAGGACCTATGGAAATGTCAAAATGTTACTGAATGTGTCATTCAAAATGAGGAGGTATTAAAAGTCATATCCATGATGTCACCCTTCCATGGGACTGAACCAGGATACTATTATGCGCAATATATAGTACTGTAGCACTGAGAGTGGCAAATGATGAGGAGACTTGCTGGCGGGGAAGAACCAGATTCTTATTGTATCGTTAACTAACACAGGCAGTCAACGAGCGTTGAACCAAGTTTAACAAGGGAAAACTGAGGGGGGGGGGAGGAGGTTAGATGCTGGACAGTAAGGTATACACACAGTAGGTAATTTACACAATAACTAGAGACATGCAGGGATTGTAAATGGTTCACACAAGACACGTGTAAACACACACTTGACAGTCGAGAGTAAGTGTGAATGATGACACCTCAACATGTTTACGTACCCAGACAGGGGCTATTTTCAAATGTCCTGGAGCTGCCAGAATATGCAAACCCTGCCGGCACTACAGTGTATTTTATACAGAACCAGTAGCTAAAACTGTACAACTACATTAATTGTGATCTTTTGTGTGTACAGAAGACCCAAAAAGATACAGAAAATTAGCTGACTGGTTTTGAAGCAAAGCATGTCTCTAGTAACCTGTATCTGAATTTGGGTAACTAATCCTAATTAAGAGTGATGTCACATTTTACTTCCTGTTCTGTGACATCGACTAACTGCATGAACAACTATAAAAACAATGCCTGTTAATAAACAATAAATGTTCAAATGTTTAATTTGTAGCATATACATGTATTTGATAGCCTATGGTGGACTGTTTAACAATAACAACATAGAGTTTAGTTACTTTAGACTGACTGTGTACATCTGTTTCCATACATGTTGTCTCTACATGTGCAAGGAAATAGACGAGGTGTTTGTAGGTGAAGCAGTGATTTTAACAGAACTGAGGTCAAAAAAGTAGAAGAATGTTAAGGCAGGTCTGGCAAAAGGACAACCCACAGTGCAGCTCTCAGAACAAATGGGGACGTGGCAACAAACTGGACAAACTGGGCATTGCTCCTCAACCCAACGGGAAGACCCTCCTCTCCAGTACTCCGGAGTAGACTTTCCCAGGGAAACTGAGGAGTGTGACCCCCCCCCCTGAAACTCATCCTCCAGTGCCCTTGCTTAAAGATTTGGACCACCACCCCAGTCCAAAGGCACTGTCCCCAACCTCCACACAATGTGGAAAGAAGCTTTCACAAACCTATGGCAAATCTCATCCACCCCTGGAGCCTAACTGCTGAAGAGCATTTTGACTACTTCAGTGACCTCAGCCCTAGAGATGGGTTAGTCTCCCCCTGAGTCTTCCAGCTGTACTGTCTCCAAGGAAGGGGTCAAGCTCAAGACCTTGTGGTGCCCAAATCATGCGTGAAAATGATTCCTCATGTTCCCGGAACCACTCTTTCACAATTTGAGTCCCATGAATCTTGGCATTATCATCCTGGAATATGCCCGTGCCTTTAGGTAAGAAAAAACCCATTGATGGGATAACCTGGCCATTCAGTAGATTCAGGTACTCAGCTGACTTCACCTTATTGCTGCATAACGTTGCTGAGCTGTAATAATGATCCAGTCATTGTTTTTAAAGTTTTTGCTGATTTAAATTCAAATGGTGACTTTCTGGCTGGGCAGTGTATTTGGTACTGATCTCACTCAGTTTCTGAATATTTGAAAGTGGGTCAAGATTGGACAGACAGACAGACATACATCATTAATCCTGAAGGACATTTAGGGTTACCCAGAACTAGTGCTGTCAATGTTAACACGTCAATGTTTGTAATTAATCTGGAAACAAACTATTTTGTTTTTAACACAAATTAATCCCCTGCAATCTGCAACCCCGCCAGTGTGATAAAACAGAAATCTTGCTGAACCATCTAAAAAACTCTGTTTTGTCGTGACACATATGAAAAACATCCCCAGAAACAGGCTACTTATTGTGTAAAATATTAGGGATGTTGGACTTCAATTATTACTGCCTCACAGTTATCATTTATAATAATTCCTTTTTTACGGCTAAAACTGGCATGTATGTCACTTGCTGCTGTTGCCAACTGGTGGCATTGCATTTTACTTATTTATCACATTATTTATCTGGTAAACAATTACAAATTGTAGCAAAAGACAAAATATAAATTATAGACGTGGTTAGTTTATCAAAAACAGTTTTATTGTTGGCTTGTCTTAGAGTCATTCCGAGTACTGTGCAGTGAACACTTTTCCACACCAACCTGGTAAGAAATGTTGATACATTACTTTAATTCATTGCAGTTTATAGTATCATTCAACGTTTTGTAGCCTAGTTAATTGTGCCTGTCAATGTGGCACAGATTCAGATGGTACTGACTGCGTTTAAATATTTGCACGAGTAAATCTAAACTGAAACAAGAACTTCAGGTAACAGAGTTTGAAACCATTTTGTTTAGAATTAACATATTACTGCATCAAAATAATGCAATGAGCCCTATAATATTGCAAAACTGTGTTGTTTTCATCATGCTTTATTAATGCTTAGGTTAGACTCCTGGATCATGACGGTGACATGTTCTGAACCTGCCGTCCATCTGATTTGGTCAGCCGATGGAATTGTTTGATGGCAGGATGTTACCAACATATCAGGAGGTCCTGCAAGTTTATTTCTTTCACCACAAAATACAAAGTATGACTACAAAGAATGCCATCAAGATTGGTGTTAATAAACTTGCTGAAATTTGGTTAAAAGCTAGAGTCCCAAGGGCCGAGGAAAGAAGCATTGTTCGAAAACTTGAAGCTCTGGTGGAAAAACATCGAAACGTATGTCGCAACATGAATCGCCAAAGATCAGCACAGGAAGCTCGAGAGCATGAATTTGAAATATCATTAAAACAGTTGTTTGACATATCTCATCACCTAGCCATGGACACGATAAAATTAGAAGAGGACAAATTGTTTCTGGCAGATCAGCGTGGTGAAAGGAAAATGTGTATGGGAAAAGTTGATGAAGAACTTGCAGCCCTAGAAGATCGGAGGGTATCAAGAATCGAAAAAGAATTAAATAGACAGAAAAAGGAAAAATTGAGACAAGAAGAAGAAAATATTGCAGGTACCTCTGGGTCTTGTAGTGCTGACTCTACAGATAAAGGCACACTTCCAGCTTTGTCTGAATTTTCTAACAAATCGAGTAGTGATGAGTTTTTGGCTGAGTCAATCTCACAGCAAGATATAGTTGCACGTAAGCGAGCACGTGCCACTTCCAACCAAGCTATTACACCAGCAATTGCAGGTGCATTAGATCGCACTAATGTTAGTTACAGGAAGGCCGCTTTTATATTCCAGGCTGTAGCACATTCTTATGGTAATGAAGTGTCTGACATGTCCCTGTCTGCCAGCAGTACGGCTGCAGCTGAATATAAGGCTGCAACTGTGTCTGAAGGCCCTCTTGTTATCCATTTTGATGGAAAACTTCTGCCAGCTATTGCAGGTGGTCCAATAAAAGAAGACCGTGTGGCAGTATTGGTGACTGGCTTTGAAGTCGAGAAAATTCTTGCAGTTCCAAAGGTTGCAAAAGGAACAGGAGAATTAGTTGCAAAGGCAGCATCAGAGAGCCTCCATGAATGAAATCTAGTCGATAATACAATTCGCATGTCCTTTGACACAACAGCATCCAATATTGGACATTTGAATGGAGCTTGTGTTTTGCTGGAACATAAGTTGGGCAAACATTTGTTATGGTTGGCATGCAGGCATCATGTGCTCGAAGTGGTGTGCGGCGATGTATTCAAAAAGCTGTTTGGTATTTCGTCAGGTCCCAGTGTGTCACTATTTCGACCTTTTCAGGAACAATGGCCAAACATTGATCAGTCTGATTTCATGGCTTGCAGCGATGCTAGACTGACTGACAATTTGGCAGATCTAAAACGTAATGCAATATCATTCAGTGCCAGCGTATTGACAAGTGAGTCTTCCCAGAGAAGATTACAGAGAACTGTTGGAATTTGACGGTTATCTTTCTAGGTGAAACACCACCGAGAGGTGTTTGTTTCCATGCCCCAGGGGAATTTCATCATGCACGATGGATGAGTAAATTGCTTTATGTATTAAAGATAAATCTTTTCCAAAGTCAGCTTCGACTAACCAAGCACGAGAGTTCAGCCTACTTGGAATTTGCAATCTTTGTAACACTGATTTACGTCAAGGCATGGATAACTTGTTCATACTCATGCGACGCACCTGCAAATGACTTGAACTTCATTCAGAGCTTGATTAAGTACAATTCAGTAAATAAAACTGTTTCGGATGCTGCTCATACAGCTATGCGACGCCACCTCTGGTACTTGGGTCAAGAATTGGCCCCACTTGGCTTGTTCTTAGATTTGCTTCCTGCAGAAGTGAAGCAGCGAATGGCTGCACGTATCCTCGAATCAGATCCTCAGTCATTTAATGATCTACGGCATGTCAAGTATTCTGGCAATGAAGACTTCAGCGGTAAAACTCTTGACTATTTCATAGGACCAGCATCTCATTTCTTGTTCAAGGTACTTAAACAGAACACTGACTTTCTCTCGCATGATGTTGATAGCTGGCTAGACCAGGATTTGTTTCGTTTCTTGAATAATTCCAGGAAAATAAAAATAACAAGAGTCACTGACTCGAGTGTCGCCCATCCATTTTTATTTTGTGACGTAAGTTTTTGCAGAGGAAATACGATAAAAACATTTCTCAATGTATGGGTAAAATTTACAAACTCCAGCCTGGCTCTTCCCTACATTTAGTTGAAGAAAGGTCCCTTCCTTTCTTTATGAGTCCTGCTTCTAGGAGCCTGATATGAACTGTCCTAGCACTGCACTTCACACCACGTAATGTTTCCCACTCCTTTTGAAGGTCACTTCAAGTCATCTTCGAATTAATCAGGCACTCCCGGATAAGTTGACAGTTATCTCTGGCTTTAGAAAGTTGTTTCTGCCCTCTACCTAGCTGATTTTGGTCATTGCCAGTGTCTCACACTTCACCTTATTCTTCTGTACTGCTGTGTTAGAAATGTTGAGCCTGGAAGCAGCCTGCCACTCACTGTTGCCTTTGGCCAGCAGAAGCAGGATTAAACCAGGATGCTGGTTTAATATCAGCTCAATGCCGATATTTACAAAATAGAGTGGTCTCATAATTTTTTCTAGAGCTGTATATAAATATCCTGAATTATTAAAGACCAAATTCTCATTATTCCTTTTATCTATTAGAACTTCAAAAGATTTACAGAAGAAATCGAGAGGAGTAAGATTGAAGACATCATGGACCAGGAGACGGACACTCGTCAGAGGGCAGAACAGGAGTACAGTGAAGATCTTCATCATTCCATCAAGGTTGATAAAGCATGTGTACAAAATAACTCCTGTATCCCAACCGCTGTCAGTACCATTATTGTTAAGATATTTGGCAGGACCTCTGACAGTGGAGACACCCTGTCTGGTTATTCTGGCTCAGCTCTTGCAACTCAGATGTTGGGGCCGGAGCTGATACCTGCACCACTTTTCTCGATTGATGGTAAGACAAATGCTGTGTTTCAGGACAATTTCTTGAGAATTTTTAAGTCACATGGTATTACTCCTGTCCTGGAGGTAGCAACCCAAAATGGTCATATTTACCAAGTTATGGATCAGAGCAGCAAAACTACTAGCTACCAAATCCCAAAGAGACCTGTAGATCACACCACTCAGTATGACTGGCAGAACATCTTGATCCTGGAAGATGACCCCACAGTTCGAGATATGACCACCTTTCTGTATGAAAAACACCCAACTGTGTCTTCTGTCTACATTCTGGAGAATCAGAAACCCAAAATGATTAAAGGAGACGCTGTACCATTGTCTCAGGACAGCAGACTGGTGGTTGTGGGCCATGTAAAAAGAGATGGAACAGAAATGAAGGTGGGGGAATACAAGGCCAAGGAGGTGGCTGAGATCATCTCACACATGAACAGAGATGGAGACCACATCAAAACCATTAGTATGGTGGCCTGTGAGTTAGGGTCAGATGAGGTTTTCATTAGCACCTTGCTGAAGGAGCTCCATGCCAGGCCTATCGACACAGAACTCCATCTGTTGCAGGTTAGCCAATCTGGGAATATGTTGACAGTGGAAATCACCCCCAATGGACTAGTACAGAGACATAAAGATTACAGTATGAAAGTAGTGGCTTGGATAGACAAAAATGGAGCAGTAATTATACAAGATCAATCCAGTGAAAGTGAAGAGATTTTTTTTAAAGAAAATGAAAGTAACTCTCTAATGGATAGAGAATGGCCAACAAAACCGAGAAAATTTGTTGATAATTATGCACGACAACCTCATACTAGTGACCTTGAGGCTTTGGCTTGGATTCTTTTCTATAATAGAAAGAATGAAAACTTAGTCAATAGATTGAAACGTCCACCCAGTCATTCAGCAGAGAATACATATGTAATTAATCACTATCAGCTGAAATGGGACAAAAACATAAATGGGTACATACATGAGAATGAGGGTTGGAATAATTCCGATGTCAATAAAGTTCTTGAGAACTGCTATGAAATACAGTCTGGTGAGGACATCTTGAATATTATTACTCACTACGCAACCATGAAAATTGTAAAAGATCAGTTCTCATATCTGATCTTGAATGATTGGATTTATCGAATTTATCATAGAACACTTTATGTTTTTCCTGTTGGGAAAAGACTTGGTAACAATGAGATGGAGAATGAGGAAACAATTATACAAAACTGCATTACCAGGCAATTTGGCAAAGAAAAATATAAGTACATGGTGGATGAAATTAACCAATTTCCCAATGGCAGAGTAGCATATGCAGACTACGCCACACAGACTCTTCAAGGTACCTACGTTAAAGGTTCAAATGCTCCTGAGATGGAGGCATGGTTAACAACATACTTCATAGCATCAGTTATATCTGAATCTTCTAGAAATTTCCGTACATTCCCTGTCATTCTGATGGCTCTGGACATGAGCCAAAACTCTAATAGAGAAAAAGGAATCACAGCCTTGTTTGAAGGGCATCCAATGGCAAGAGGAGGGAGTTGGAATTCACCATATAGAGGGTTTTTTGGATCATGCATGGTCGAAATTGGAAAAAGACAAAATAAAAGAAAGCAAAAACTAATGGATGTGATGAAGGCTGAAGAAACAATTTGTTCATCATGGTTTGGCAATAAAAGAATGAAAGGATGCCTGTTTCAGCTTCTATCTCTAGATGACAATGAACAACATTTTATAGGTGATCTTAAAAGAATCAAAGATGAAATTGACCAAAACCCACCACAACAGTTTGGAGTTTTGGGAGGATTAAATACAATACCATACCATCCATCCATTGTCCAGCCCGCTTATCCTACTGGGTCCGGAGCCTATCCCGGAAGCAATGGGCACGAGGCAGGGAACAACCTTGGATGGGGGGCCAGTCCATTACAGGGCACACTCACACACCATTCACACCTAAGGGCAATTTAGCAACTCCATTAATGGGTATGGGTTTATTTTTTATTTTATTTTGCTACGTTTATGCAAGGTGCCTCACTTGGTTTTTAGAACCTAGTGTAGATTCAAGGCTTATGCTGAGTTTTTACAGTTATATCCTGATTGGTCATTTACTTGTTGTGATTAATTACTCATGATGATTCAATGTGTTTTGTTTTCCATGGAATCATAGGGGGGACTGAGGGATTTCCCTAGTTAATTTGTAGCTATTTAATTTAGTTCATTCATTAAAGGGCCTGCTTCCCTCAGTGGGGGGCAGAGACAGACACAGACAGACACTGAACCAGCCGTGTGGTACATCTTTCTGTAACATCTTCATTCTGTCTTAATAAACTGCTTAAGCTTAAGGAACCTGCCTCATCATTCAACTAAACGAACCTGAGGTTTCACTGAAGAAATCTATCAAAAGGTAGCTTTGAGATTGGCTTATAATTAGATACACTAAAAGGGTCAAGGCTAGGTTTTTTCAACAGGGGTTGTAGAACAGCATGCCTAAAACATGACGGTACCACACACTGAAGTCAAACTACTATTTATAAAATGAAGTATATGAGGACCCAGGGTGGGAAAAACCTTAAAAAACCAAGGGGGATTAATATCAACTGGGGAGCCTGATGGCTTCATACTGCAAATCAGCTGCTCTAAGATGGTGAGAGAGACAGACTCAAAGGGGTCAAACACAGACACACAAGGAATTAAAATAGAAGGATCGTAAGAAGGAGGTGAAATAAGGGCCCTAGTGCTTACAACCTTTTCCAAAAAGAATGTAAGAAATTCTTCACTAGAGGCTTCCATATATGAAGCAATAACATCAGAGAAAAAATATGACCTATGATGGACATGTAACATCCCAGGATACGCTTCTGAAGTAGAACATTCCCTTAAACTGTCCTCATATTACTCCTGGTCATCTATTGTACTCAGTGACCAGATTGAGAGTCAGCTGGAAAGAGATTTTGGTGAAACGTTGGGTGAACTTAAAGTGAAACCAGACAGTATGGATGGAGATTACTTCAGAAAAACATTAGAAATGTAGCTGAAATTAACAGTCCTGATCCAACCAAAATCTACAGAAGTCCTGAGCACTTGGAGCTTATGGGGAAAACAGTGGAAGCCGTAGGACTGATGTTGGGAATGCAGGGTGCTGTTCATGCCTTTGAAAGAGGAGACATAGAACATGGAGTCATGGGAACCTTACAGACAGGCCATGGAGTCTCACAAATGACTTTGGCTGCGGTAGCAAAGTCCTCTGTAACTTCAGAAACAAAAGCTATGAAACCCATGAAAAACATCATAAAGAGTCCAGTTAGAGGAACTATTCTTAATATTGTTATGGATTTAGATTTGTCATATACAATATTAAAGAAGACACTCTGGGATATATTGATGGAGCCTTAGATTTTGCAGTTTTAGAACTCAATATTGTTGAAATAGTCCAACCAGAACTGGCACCAATTATAGCTCCAATAAACCTAGTGATAAGCGTAATACGAAAGGGAATTGATGACATTTATATGAGTGTACAGAATGAATTAGCAAATGTACCACAGAACGCTGGAACACTGGGCAAAATTGGAGCTTTTCTCAAAGGACTTGGAAAGGGAATATATTATTTTGCCCTTGATGTGCTAAGCTTTTTTTGCACAATCCCTTACCGTGAGATTGAGGAAGGACGTAGGCTTGTTGACCAAATTTCAGACTACCATAAATATTATAGGTTTAGTGAGGTACAGGCTGGAAGAAAGGCTATTGATTTTTCATCAGGTGACAGTTCTTGGAATGGTGGTAGCATCACATTCTGTCTTGCTGAGGAAGGATCTTCTTTTTTTTTTTTTTCTTCTGAATTCTGTATGGAAAACTTTGTATCCTCAGATGAAAGTCTTGGGAAAAAATGTTGGGAGATTGAGACAAATGGAACAAAAGATATAGTCCTCGGCATTGGAGAATGACATAAATTAACATACACTGACATACAGCTGAAAGCGTTGTTATGTATACCAGCAGGCCATCTAAATGTGGTGTCTGGTTATAAAGCTTTGTCACACACGCGGTATGGAACATATTACGGAAATGATAAAGAAAACAATTTTTTTGCCAGTCAGTCAAATAACGATAATCATGATATGGAGGTCATGTTGAATTATTACTACAAGCTTTATGGAAAGAAGGGGGGTGATTCATTCTAGAATTTAGAATTAAGTGATCAGTGGTCATTGTCAACACACCACAGCANAATACAAATATTACAATTTCTTAAAAAGTATAACAGGTAACTTAAATTTTTTTATGGAATGATATAAAAAACATGTTATTTGAGGAATATCTGGAATATGAAACGATAAAAACTTTTCATTACAAAGATATTGCAAGAAAACGACCTCACTGGGTCATTGTTGACCCACTTGTGCATCCTAGGGTTAACATACACTGACATACAGCTGAAAGTGTTTTTATTTATACCAGCTGGCCATAAAACTGTGGTGTCTGGTTATAAAGCTTTGTCACACACGCGGTATGGAACATATTATGGAAATGATAAAGAAAACAATTTTTTTGCCAGTCAGTCAAATAATGATAGTCATGATATGGAGGTTATGTTGAATTATTACTACAAGCTTTATGGAAAGAAGGGGGGTGATTCATTCTATTTAGGACCTCAGAGAAGCCATGTAGAGGGACAAGGGGGGAAAGACATTTACATCATTCCTGAGACTGGGGGCAACACTCACATATACAACTATGATCCAGATAAGGCCACTGATGTACTTATTCTCAGTGTCAACTACAGTGATATATCAGTAACAAAATCAGGAAATGACGTTATTTTGCAATATTTAACAGATCACAATGTAAGAATACTAAATTGGTTTCTGGGAGAGGAGTACCGTCACCTAAACATGATGTCAGCTGATGGTGTCTTGTTTGACATCAACCCCACTGTCATTTCTTCCGTTAAGCTTATTGCTCTAGGTGTGAACAAAATGTCCAAAACTCAGGATCAGAGAGTAAATGCATCAGAGCCTCTGCTACTCAGTGTGACCAACATTGTGGGCTCCCCTCATGATGATTGGCTAATTGGAAATTCACAGAAGAATGTGATTGAAGGTGGTGGTGGAACCGACCACATGAAAGGAGGAGAGGGAGAGGACATCTATGTGGTGAATGAAAACTCAAAGGTCTACATTGAAAATCATTCTCATGATAATGAAACTGATATGTTGATTACAGACACAAACCTTCATGATTTTAGAATCAAAGTACAAAGAAATAATTTGATTCTTATGACACGTAATCAGAAAATGTTTGTCACTCTGGTAAATTGGTTCCGTTCCGACACAGACCGTCATCTTCTAGTGCTCACAAAGGATTTGGTGACTTTCACCATCTCTGAGAACAAGGTTGCCTGCACAAAGTCTGACCTTTTCAAAAGCAAGTGCATCTTGAGCCAAAGTATTGATTACAGTAAATCCAAAATTTCCCTTGAAATAGACATGCAGAGTGATGAGGCATTTCAGAGTGTAACCCAGGTCTATGGTTCAGACTTAGATGATAAAATCAAAGGCAATGCAAAACACAACAGCATTATGCCAGGACAGGGAAACGATTTCATTCAGGGATTAGGAGAGGAGGATTGGTATGTAGTGACTCCAGGCCATGGTTTGAAGATCATTGACAACTACTCACCAGACACTGTAGTTGACACACTGTTCTTAAGAGAAAGATATGAGCTCATTAGTTGCAGATGTCAAGGATTAGACTTATCAATACTTATAAATGAGACCGAAGAAATCCTGTTGAAAGGCTGGTTCAATTCAAAACAGTCACAACACCTTCAAATCCAGTCTGCTGATGGGATAACATTTAAACTCATAGGCGATCTCAGCCAATGCAGTGGTCAGCTTAAGTTCCCGCAATCTGTTGATTACAGAAATAAAGCAACAGGCCAGACCATGTTCATGGATGAAGAAGAGTTTGCCACAGTGCTGAAAATGTATGGATCCTCTAGTTTTGACCTCATGGTTGGAAATGATAAAGACAATTTGTTGGACCCCTTCACAGGAGGTGGCCAGTTGATGGGGAAAGAGGGAAGTGACAGGTACATTGTGAAACCTGAATATGGGATGAATCTCAGGATTGATAACTTTGCTTTGGATGAGAAGGTGGACACTGTGCTGTTCGAGGCAGATTTCATCTCTGGCCAGTTCACAGTTCAGTCTGAGGAATATGACGTACTGGTAAGCACCACTGAAAAAGGGCAGAAAATGCAGGTTCGGCTAATCAATTACAGTACTGGACGTCAAAATCAACATCTAAGTTTCCAGAGTCGTGATGGAGTATTTTTCTGGGTAAAGTCTCCAGTTAGAAACAGCACTGAAAACACACAGACTCCTTGGATTGAGCCTTACAAGGTGAAGCTGGTTGAAAGGCAGACAGACTGCCGTATAGATCTGAACTTGCATGCCAACCTCTCCACTGTTCACACAGTGCAGGGCTGCCTCTATCAGAGTAATCACATCCTGGGTAACGGGCAGGAAAATGCTCTCTTTGGTGGAATGAAAGACGATGCCCTAGAGGGAGGTCCTGGGCATGACACGTTGATGGGTGGACAGGGCAGTGACATCCTGATGGGGAACTCTGGAGATGACACTTTTTATGGAGAGGAGGGAAATGATACCATGCTGGGGGGCTCAGGAGCCGACGTCTTTGTCCCCGGGCTAGGAGCCGATTTGGTGGATGGGGGCTCGGGCAGAGACACTGTGTTGTACCAGGGAGATCACAGGAAAGGTGAAGGGGTTTATGTCAACCTGCTGACCGGTGAATGCCGACAGGCAGATGCTGAGGGAGACGTACTCAAGGACATCGAAAATGTGATTGGCACCATTTACTCAGACGTGCTTATTTCAGGCTCAGAGTCAACGCTGCTCAAAGGCTCAGATGGCGATGACATCCTTGTATCTGTGAACGGGGATGATTACTTGGTTGGAGGAGAGGGTAAAGACATCTACCTGTTAGTTTCTCACTATGGCCTGCTGACTATTAACAACTGTGCCGATGATAATTCCACAGATATCTTGTACCTTGACTTCCTGTCTCAGGATGATGCACTAAGCTGCTCACAGACATCTGATTGGCTGTCTCTGACTTTCGGTGGGTCTGATGGTTCAGTTGTTGAGGTGAGACTGATGGAATGGCATAACAGCAGTGATAAATGCGGCCATTTGACACTAATCCTCAGGGAGGGGGCGACGTCTATTGATAAACTAAAGATTTGCCAACGTAATGACATGTTAATTTACTTGGTAAGAGCAGTAGCAGTTGCTACAGTTGCTATAGCTGCAGTAGTTCATGTAATAGGAATACTGTTCTACTTCCTTAAGTGTGTCCGCAGAAATAAAGAGGTGAACGGTGAAGGAAGGCCAGCCAATAATGAGGGAGAGGCCGGTCTAGAGAGGTCTGAGGATGTATCAGACCTTTAGGCTAAATACTGGACAGAGATAAAACACATCAGCGATGCATCACACTGGAAAAAAAATCTTGTAAAATTTATGGCAAATTATTGGCAAAAAGTTAACAATGAATAATTCTAATTTTAGAATAATTTGCCATGAACAATATTTTACTGTTCAAGTGATTTATTGTCACAGAAAAAAGTCATTTTCAGCTTTCATGATATTCTATTTACTGCATTTTACTGTAATTCTCATTTATACCCTGTAATTTCACATTTTACTGTAATTCTCATTTATACCCTGTAATACCCTTTAATTTCACATTTTACTGTTTTATACTGTAATCTTTATTTACATTAAATTCCGGTAATTTCAATTACTAATTGCCAATAAAGTATGATAAAATACTACCAGTATGTTTCTGTAAAACTACAGCATTTAAAATTGCATGATATGCGCTGGAATAACCTATACAGACAAAGAACAGATTACCTTTATTATTTAGTATTTTAATGTGAAATGTTCCAAACATCACAACACAGTAAATCCAAACCAAATAAGCTCAAAAAATAAGCATTCTACTGTATTGCAAAAAAATCCTGTGTTTTGAATAAATAATTCAGTTTTTAAATATTTTATATGAACATGGCAATAACGTCCATCCCTCCATCACCGTAACTGTAACCACTCAGTCCCAACTGGGGTCATGGGGGGGACTGGAGCCTATCCTGGGAACAAGGGGCACAGACAGGAACCAACCCTGGGCAGGAACTAACAGACCACAGTGCACACACACACACACAATTTAGACTCACTAATCAACCTGCCCCCCATGCGTTTGGGCAGTGGGAGGAAGCCGTAGCCCCTGGTGGAAACCCACATGACCTTGGGGAGACCTTGGGGAGATCTTGGGGAGACCTTGGGGAGAGCATGCGAACTCCACACAGAAAGGACCCAGGACTGAACCCAGGACCTTCTTGCTGTGAGGCAGCAGCGCTAACCAAATATTATTTCACATAATTAACAGACCAACTTGAAGTTGCATTCTTACTTATATGCAAGAGTAAATGTATGTGTAATTTTTGTGTGTGAATGACAGTTTGCATGTGAATGACTCTGTGAGATGCTTGTGCATAAATATGTATGTGCACACGTGCTTTTCTTGAGCGTGTGAATGTGTGTGTATAAGCGAGATGACCAGATTTGCTAAAGGTTTGTGCCAGAGCAAACCCTCTTTTGGTGTTAAAGTAGTACTGTCGGTATTTACAAGCATAGAATGAATTTATCTCATCAAGGTGGAAAGCAGAATGTCCTGTGGTTTGTGGGTTTGATTGTGGTTTGTAATCTGTGGTTCTGCTTAATCCCTTACACATCTTCTGGGTATTACTGCTGTGGTAATATGACTTCACTTTGGATTTGTAGTTGAACTTTGCAAATTTACTTTGATAACGATAATGAGGTCATATCTGAATTTTTTATGTGTCAAAGCCGCAGCCTTGGCATTAAGCATTTCCGTACCTATATATTTACCCATGGTTTTTAGTTTGAGTAGGTGGTGACAGTGATTTTGGGGACCACATCATCAATGCATTTTTTGATGTAGCCAGTAACATAGTCCACATCGAGGTCAATGTCGCCCCCTGCAGCATCAAGAAAAACCTGCCAGTCTGTGATGGAAAAACAATGACGTAACAATTGCGATTTACTTGCCCAGCTCTACAAAGTGGGTTTCTCCTGCTAAAGCTTCCTCTTGTAGGTGGGCAGTAGCAGGATGGGGGTGGGATCGGACTTGCAGAAGGGGGGGGCTTTGTAGCCATCCCGAAAGAATGTGTAAGCATTATCCAGCGTTTTCACTCCAGAGAGCATGATGTTGATATAATTTCAGTGCAACAAAAGTTATTGAATGAATGTTACATTTATAAAGCGCTTTTCAAGACACCCAAAGTGCTTTACAAAACCAAAGGGGAGCCACTTCAACCCCCACCACTGTGTCGCCCCCACCTGGATGATGCGACTGCAGCCATTCTGCACCAGTACGCTCACCACACAGTAGCTAAGGTGGTAAAGGGGCAGGAGCAAATTCAGGAGTTAGACACAGGGAATGATTCGGAGACCAGAGTGGGCAATTTAATGACATCGGGCTACTACTTTTTACATCTCACCCGAAGGACGGCACCATTTTTACAGCACAGTGTCCCCATCACTGCCCTGGGATCCACACAAACCACACGATGGGATAATCTGTCAGCCACTCCAACTCTTCTTCCAGCAGGAACCCACTTCCCTAGTTGGTCTCCCATCCAAGTTATAATAATAATAATAATAATAATAATAATAATAATAATAATAATAATAATAATAACATAAACAGATAATTTATTGATCCCCATGGGAAAATTTTCTTACACGGCCCCCAACTTGCCCTCTAGAGGTGACAGCAACTTGACAGCAATGGGCACACAGGGTTTTGCTCAAGGATCCACAAAAGTGGCAAGGTTAGGCTCAAACCAGTCACCTTCTGATGACAGGCACAAAGGCTTAGCCCACTGAGCCACACACTACTGGCCAGGCCCAAACCAGCTTAGATAGATCACCTACCCTGAACTGCAGCTGGTGTGGTCAGCACACACTCCACCTTTACTTTTACCAGAGTCTTTTGTTCTGTCGTGGCGATGGAGGGAAAAGCCCCCTAGATAGACGGCTGCATCCGGAACAGATGGGTCCAGCCAGGTTTCAGTGAACGATAGCTCCTTGTAGTTTGTAATATCACGGTGAAAAGTCAGTCTGGCTATCAGTTTGTCCAACTTGGTGTTAAAGGATTAAACATTAGCCAGGAGAATGTTTGGAAGCGGAGGTTGATGAGTCTGTTTCCTCACCTTAATTTTGGCTCCTGCAAGTCTCCCTCTCTTCCTGTGGCATTGCCTCCGTCCAGGTAACAGGTGAAAATGGGACACTTAAGTCCAAATTGACACATTATCAATACAGAAGCTTAGTGCACAAGGACTACAAATCACTTAAACGGAATGCTTCCCTCTGGCTTTGAAAGATCCGAATCGTTTCAATTATCTGTCTCTCTGAAGCCCCATTTTTGCCATCAGTATATTCACCAGTAGGTGTCACTAGCGTACATTGTGTTAAATGAGACTTAAGGTAATTAGCTTTTTAGTGAATCACCTGCCCAAACCACAGAACGACGACGTGCTGCAGAGTGGACGTGAAAGGAGAATTAATCGGTTTGGCAATTTTCACCACCACCCGCCATTGGTTGTCATTTACTGTCTTCTCACAGGTTTGAGACAAAAAACTTAATGCCTTCGGGTAAAATCAAATTACCTATTTTTAATCTAATACACTGGGTTTCCATAATAAACGTAATTAAGCAAAACAGTGATATGACAACGCGTAATGTATAATTCACCGGAAAGGAAAAAATATTAATTCTCTGCGATCGATATATATTTATTTTGATAGTGATATGTCAAAATACGATACTGGGTACACTGAAAACATTAGCCGACATATATTTGGTTGTTCTGTTGTAAACAATTTAGAAACTAAGAATAGGGTGACCAGATAATCCATGTCAGGGAGGACACTTTGAGCTACTTCGGGTTTTATAACCTACTTTCAAACTGAAAGGCTCCTGTGCTTGGCTAAATAGTTCAGCTCTTCTTGTGCTTTGACTGGTTTGTTTCCTTGACTGAAAGACTCATCCAGCTGTTTCACATTAACATTAGTGCCTCATGTATGATTATAGGAGACTGACCAATCAGCACACAGCAAGAACTCAGTGCTCAAGTGAAATCCAGGTCCTTTTAATTGAAATGGTAATTTACAATCCCTGTCCTGGCTCAGAGTGTCCTCCCTGACATGGATTATCTGGTCACCCTAACTAAGAGCAAATTACTAGAAACTGGACAAAAGAAGAAATTATGCCCAGTTTCCAAAGGTCAGATTTTTGCTAAGTTTCATTTTGAGTAATAATCAGCAGCTACGACACGGTCAACGCCATGCAGCCCTACAGTTACTTTTCTCTGTAATCTCTGTAGTTTCGCATTCCAGGTAAGTGCGGTGCCAGGTTTTTACTTTCGATTCGCCAGGTAACCTTAAGCCCTGTCATTTTCAATATTGCTTTTTTGTGCCCGTAGGAATGCGACAAAGGAATGCACCTCTGGTGCAGGTGCGACAAAGGAATCCCCAGCACAGCTGGGAAGATGCGGTGGGGCAATTGCGCCATCTTCTTGCGGTAACCTGAGAGAGGTTGTAGCAACGGCGTCACTAGTTGACTGGAGCGAGGCTCCATATGTGACATCATGAGTGACGCTAATTCAACGCCCAACCAGCTAACCAGACAGCCTAGTTCTACAGGTTTTACATATAAATACCCATAAATACCTGAAAGTCATCCTTTCTAGGCACAAATATTTCATGACAAATCCAGCGACATTGAACTCCAGCGTAGTAGTTGGCAACTTGGGCGAAACAGAGAAGACCTTGGGTGCCGACTTAGTACAGGAGGCAGCAGTGCTTGGTGCTGTCTTGGGTGCCGGCGCAGAGGCTTTGGACACTAACCCAGGGGAAGAGGCATCAGTGGTGTTGGACGCATCCGGTCCTAGCACGGTTCTTGGTGAGTCCGTCTCCTTGCGATTCATCTGCTTTTTCTTCTTACTGCTGAATTTGCAGTGGAAAGCTTGGGCAGCTCAAAAGGTGGAAAAGGAGGCAACCCACAATGTAAGTGCACCTGCCTTATCATTGCCTCAGCGACCCAGCTTTTCAACTGGGTCAGGTTCTACCGCACCTCCTCTGTGAGGTGCGGGTCTTCAGAAGGGGAAATCTCCTCCAGGATTTCTCTCAACCGAACAGCAAAGGCTCTAGCCGCTGGGTCCTCCTGGACCTCTGGCTGTCAGAGCCAGTAGATTACCTTGTCTACCAAACTGAGGTACTCATCCTCAGTAAGACAAGGTGTCTTCTCATGGAGTCTGGTCATTCTGTTATGGGGCAAGCACCCAAGTGTGCCTGTAGGAGCTGATGTCTTTCTGCTAGGGTTGCACATAGGTTTTTAAAATTGTGCAATTTTTCGAGGACACTGTTTAAAGTAAGCGTGCTTACTTTCGAACCTTAAAGTCCACAAGCGTATGAGAGGGCCAAACTTGATCATGAGCTCAGGGTAGTGACACAAATAGTGGTGTTTTGGTTTGAGAGGATTTTCTGGAAATGTCTCAACTCTGAAATGTATATATTCTTCAATTAGAATGTTTAAATATGCCACTTGATCATGGGTAATGAGTGGTGCACATATGTAATTAACCACTTGTCGTAGGAGCAAAACCAACTGCCATGCTGGACTATCTGCTGGATTATCTATTCTGTCTCCAACTAATA